TACGTATACGTATAAGCATTCGTTAAAGTATAAGTAGAAGTAACTTAGGGTAGAGTAGAGCAGGAGCAGGAGCAGGAGCAGGAGCAGGAGCAGGAGCAGGAGCAGGAACAGGAGCAGGAACAATATAGAGTAGGGTAGAGTATGTAAGGCTACGGTAGGGATGGGTAGAGTATAGTAGGGTGGAGCACAGTCGGGTATAGGAGAGGAGAGTAGAGTAGGGCAAAATAGGGCAGACGACACTCACATCCTAGTAACTTTCTATCAGAATGAGCGCCTGGCCCGGGCGCTGGCGACGGGTGCGCCGCCGCCTCCGCTGACGTTGTCTTCGCTGACGATGTCGCCTTGTCGGCGTCGTCGTCGGCGTCTTCGTCGTCGTCGTCGTCGTCGTCGTCGTCGTCGTCGTCGTCGACGTCGTCGTCGGCGTCGGCGTCGGCGTCGGCGTCGGCGTCGGCGTAGGCGTCGGCGTCGGCGTCGGCGTCGTCGTCATCATCGCCGCGAAGGGGGGGGGGTCCTGGACCCGCCGAATAATGCTTCCGGGAGGAAGGGGGTGGTTGTGGATTCCCCGAATGATTTCCCCAGGGGGGGGGAGGTGTCCGGACCAGGCCCCGAAGTTCTTCCCAGAAGGGGGGGGGGAAGTCAGAAAGGAAGGGCCTTGGTTTCCGACCCCCTCCCCCCCTTCGGAGTTTTTTCCGGGGGGGGGGGGAGGGCTCCCCTGGTTTCCGACCCCCCTGTAGAGAAATGTTTCGGGCTGGCGACGGTGGATCGCGCTCGCTCCGAGATCCTGGGCGCCGAGGCTTTTCCCAGGACCGATGCTCCGCCCGGAAGCGCTTCGCTGACGGCCCTAGGGTTAAGTCGGGCATGTCCCTGTACAGGAGGAATATTCAGAACTAGCAGCAAAATATATCCAGGCGACGTTTTTTTTTTTTTTTTTTTTTTTTTTTTTTTTTTTTGTTTTTTCTTTTTTTTCTTTTATATATATATATGTACTATTTCTTGCTATTTTGATTTGTTTGTTTTTACTATTCTTGTTTCGTTCAAAATCCGCCTGTAGGAGGACATGCCCGACCTAACCCTAGGGCCTGAGGGGCGCCAGGGAGTCCGAAAATTGTAAAACAAACTTCTGGGCCGTTTCCCTCAGGACCCCCTTTTCCTCGTGGCGAGGCTGTCCCGCCCCTCTCATGATTCCGACGTTTCGATTTATACGGGAACGTAGACCCAAAGAGGTCTGGATCCCTTCCCAGGTTTCCTCTGGGGCTTTTTTTCAGCCCAGTGAAGGCCCAGGCAGGCTGCGAGCATGCACAATTATTCCGTCGTGACTCTTTCTCGACACGGGGATGTGGGGGCCCCGGCCCCAAGGTCACTCTTGCCTCGGATCACCCTTGCGTCAGGGCGCGAGCTAAGCGTTGTTTTGGCGATGTCGTGACCCGTCTTCGTTTTGATTTCGCTTCGCAGCAGAGTCAGAAGTAAGACAGAACGAAGGAAGACGAAAATGAAAGCGAACACACACACACACTGTTTAGCTCGAGCCCTGTCCTGCGTGCAGCCAACAGGGAGGGCCGCCGCCGCCTCGTCTGGCCCTCCTCCGATGCCGCCCCCCTGCTGTTCGCGCCGGGGAGAACCCTGAGATCCGAGGCTGCGAACGAAGTGCAACTTTTCGACAAGTGATCATTGTCTTACGCTTTTGTTTTTGACGATCGGCGCGGGCCCTCGCACCTCCCGATCGGCGCGGGCCCCCGCACCTCCCCCCTCCCCCCCCATAGAGTAGATATTGGCTGTTTGGGGCGCCTGTGCAGTCGCACTGAGCAGAGGTCGGGAGCCAGACCCCCCAACAGAAATCATGACTGGAGCCCAGGCCCCATCTTTCTGCGCAATTTTCGGCGGCGAGCCCGGAGGGGAAGTGAGAAGGGGCGGGCCTTCTCAGTAGGCTCGGAAGTCCCCCAGCCTTCTGAGAAGTTTTTGAAGCCTTCCCCGAGGGCAGAAAAACCTTTCAGAAGGCTGGAGGCCTTCTGAGAAGCCCCGGCGCCTTCTGAGAAGGCCTTCTTATTCGCATTTCCCCCCCTCGCTCGCCGCCGAAATTTTCCGTGCCAGATCAAGCTGTAATGGTCCCAGGGCGTCAAAGCCAGGCGAGGAACGCCCGCTGCTCACGAGCTGACAACTATAGCACCCACACCTGTGCGGCCCCTAGATCTCTTGGGGTGGAATTCCGTGTGGGGCTACAGTGGAGGCCCATGCCAAGGAACACCCTGCTTGCCTCCAGGGTGCCCTGGGTTTCTTGGGTTTCGATGGTTTTGCAATGGAAGGCGTGACGTTCCCACACCAAAAATCAATGGACGTCCTGGGGTCTCAGGGTTGGGTTTCTTGTGGCAGGTTTCTTGTGGACGGTCCTCCACTGTATAGGTGTGTGTGTGTGTTGCCGGATGGGGGTCCACGCTGGAACGGGAGCCCCCATGGGGGCACGACAACTTGCACCAATACCCACAGCGCCTTCATCTCTTTGCCCTTCCCCATTCCTCCTCCCTATAGTCGAAACCGATCGTAAGAATGATCGACTTCACAAGGGTACCGTTGCATCCTTGCCTGCTCGATCATCTTGGGTCCATCCTCAACCACTTTCGATGGCCAGCCCCGCTCGAAGAGCCTCGGCATGGGCGTCCAAAGCCTTCGCACAGGTATCGCCCATCCTTGCACCCAGTTTTGACTGTACGGGTTTGAGCGCGTGTTGTTCTTGCACCAGTTGTGACAAAATTGCAACACTCGGATCTCGGGGTCCTCCGATGCCTCCCCCCCGCTGCCCGCGATCCGAGGAGAGACCTGTGGTGACCACGCTGCGTGGTGAGTCAGTGGGGATGCGGGATCACCACGCGGTTTTGGGACTCGAGTCATGTTGTTCCAACCTGCTTCAGCGTTGATCACCAGAAAGAACTTCGAGCACCAAGCATATACTGAAACTGGAGGGTCTCCCCGTGTCGGGCCCTGGGAGGCGATACTCGTTCGACACTTCGCCAGCCTGTCGGACAGACCTTGTTTCGATGTTTTTTTTTCTGGGTGCTAAGTATATGTCTGTGGTCTTCACGCACAATGGGAACAACCCACAAGACTCGAGTCGTTCTTCGAGGATGTCTCGAGCGACGGGGCCTCCGCGGCCTCAAAACCGTGCGGTGGCGGACCGCACGGTGAGGCCGCCGTGGATTTCGAAGTCACCACGCGGTGCGTCACCACACGGTTAATCACGGGGCCCCGAGGAGGGGAGCGGGGCAGTGGAGGGAGGGAGGGCGGGGAAGGCAGGATGGAAGGAGGAGGAGGGAAGGGAGCGCAGGAAGGAGGGGTAGGAGGAGGGATAGAGAAGGGAAGCGGGAAGGAAACGAGAGAGGAAGGGGGACGAGGAGGAGGACCAGTGAAATCCCAAGATGCATCAACGATGTTGAAATAAACCGTGCCTCCAAGCCCCCTCTTCATAGGCCCCTACAACGGTTCATTTTTATTGAGGAACTGCCTCGTTACAAGACAACTGTTTGAAGACCCTGGAGCATGCCAAAACATTGTTCTCGGGATTCCAACGCCACGGGTCAACCTGACAGTTGCGTCGTGACGATCCTGAATCGTACCAGAACGCCATTCGTGGGACTTGAACAGCGCGAATCAACGTAACTTGTCCAACCTCATAAGCCTGAGTCCTTCCAGAACGCCATATCTGGTACGCTGATCACGGGAATCCGTGAACCTCTTGCAAATGTTTAAGACGAGTGCGCGCGGCGCTAAGGCGATAACCACAATTTGAGAAGGAACCGCCCTCAATCCGCGAAGCTCCTGCAATCTTTTGAGACGAATGTGCGCGGCGCTAAAGCGAAAGTCACGTTTTGAAACAACTCGCCCTCCATCCGTGAAGCTCTTGCAAATTGTTAAAACGAATGTGCACGGCGCTAAGACGAGAGCCACATGTTGAAAACCACTCGCCCTCAATCCGTGAAACTCTTGCAAATATTGAAATCGAATGTGCGCGGCGCTAAGGCGAGAGCCACATGTTGAAAACCACTCGTCCTCAATCCGTGAAGCTCTTGCAAACGTTGAAAACGAATGTGCGCGGCGCTAGGACGAGAGCCACATGTTGAAACCACTCGTCCTCAATCCGTGAAACTCGTGCAAATGTTTGAAACGATTGTGCGCGGCGCTAAGGCGAGAGCCACATGTTGAAAACCACTCGTCCTCAACCCGTGAAGCTCTTGCAAACTTTGAACAAAGAATGTGCGCGGTGCTAAGGCGAGAGCCACATGTTGAAAACCACTCGTCCTCAATCTGTGAAGCTCTTGCAAACGTTGAAAACGAATGTGCGCGGTGCTCAGGCGAGAGCCACATGTTGAAAACCACTCGTCCTCAATCCGTGAACCTCTTGCAAATTTTGAGAACGAATGTGCACGGCGCTGAGGCGAGAGCCACATTTTGAAAACGACCCGCCCTCCATCCGTGAAACTGTTTCCAATCATTAAGCTTCCGAGTCATAAATGGTGAGGAAGTCTCAGGCGAAACGCCCGGCCAGCGCTAAAAACTGGCCTCGGGGTGCAACAGGGAAAAGTTATTGATAAGGACAAAGAAAGGGATGAAGAGGAGGTGGAGAAGGAGGAGGAGGAGGAGGAGGAGGAGTAGGATGATGATGATGAGGAGGAGGAGGAGTAGGAGTAGGAGTAGGAGGAGGATGAGGATGAGGATGAGGATGAGGATGAGGATGAGGATGATGATGATGATGATGATGATGATGATGATGATGATGATGATGATGATGATGATGATGATGATGATGATGAGGAGGAGGAGAGAGGAGGAGGAGGAGGAGGAGGGTGGGGAGGAGGAGGAGGTGAAGGAGGCGGAGGAGGAGGAGGATCACGAGGAGGAGGATGAGGAGGAGGATGAGGAGGAGGAGGAGGAGCAGGAGGATCAGCAGCAGGAGCAGGATATGGTACGGAGGAGAAGGAGGAGGAGGCGAAGCTGTCCGCGCCCTGAGAGAGGCCAGCGGCGATGCAGCCGCGGCCGCGGGCCTCTCCTGCGGCGAGCTGGCAGCGCTGTGCGCCGCTGGCTGCTTCGGTTTCGAGGATGGCGTGCGCCTGGCAAAGTTGCGAGGCGACCGGCCGCGCGCTCGGGGCTGGAGTTACGGTCGGTTCGTGCGGCGTTGGCGCGCATGCGACGCAGGCGACGACGTTCAAGATTGAATCCTGTGGCGCGGAAGCATTGAGGGACGCGGTAGCGCCAGTGGACCCGATATGATTCAACCTGGAGCAGTCGGGCGCCGACGCCGCACGAACCTACAGTATGTTGTTCCCATCGTACGTAGAGGCAACATCCCAGAAATAATGTCAAGCACCCAGAAGAGCATCGAAACAAGGTCTGTCCGACAGGCTGGCAAAGTGTCGAACGAGCATCGCCGCCCAGGGCCCGACACGGGGAGACCCTCCAGTTTCAGTATTTGCTTGGTGCTCGAAATGCGGTCTGGTGGCTGAAGTCCAAGTAGGTTGGAACAACATGCGGCTGGAGGAGAAGGTCGCCACGAAGAACGCGATTTCTGTTCGAGAGGCCGCCCAAATGGGGTCCCCGTAGATCGGGTCGAGGGATCGTGTTGCACCGCCGATGCGGCCCGATATGGAGACCGATTTTCCCCACGCCGACGGCGCCGATGCATCGCCGACGTCGCCGATGTATCGGCGATGCTGCGCGAGCCTCCGACCCCATCTAGTCGGACCCCATCGAGGAGGCCTCTAGCTCGGGGCTGGAGGATAGGGAGGACCAAATTGGTAACGGAAGGAGTGGTGACGAAGACTGACTGAAGCTCCTGTCCATCTTAAACCAAGCTCGCTGCTGGTGTCGCCGCGGACGTCGGCCATTCGAGACCGAGAGACGCCTGCCGACCAGCGGCCGCTGTCGGTTTTGGACAGCATTTGCTGCTGGGCATCGTGCCCACTTTTTCTTCGGTAGCAGATCAAGGGAGCCTGGTATATCCTCATAATTCCGGCCTAAGTGTCGTTTAGCGTCAATTAGCGCCTGTGAGTCGGTGAGATGGCGCCAGTTTAGCGTCGGCCAGCGTTGATTAGCGTCGATTCAGCGTCGATTAGCGTCGATTTAGCGCCGATTAGCGTCGATTCGCACGAGCCGATAAGATGGTATGGGAGGCTCGCATGAGTTGCCACCGAACGTTTTCTGTATCCATGTCGGGTGTGCCAAGGGGAGGCGGTTTCCCCGAGGAAATCGATTCCCTGAGCCAGATGCCCCCCCCCCCTCGGGCGCGAACAAAATTGCGCCTGGGGACCCTGCCCTGGCCCACGGATCATTGTTTTGCCGATCGGCGCGGGCCCTCGCACCCCCCCTGTCCCCCCCCCCCTCCCCCTGGAGTAGATCTTGCTTGTTGTTGGCGCCTGATGAGAGCAGGTGGAGCCTCCCCCACAGGACGCACTGCTCCAAACAGTGGCATTAAGCAGAGGTCTGGAGCCAGACCCCCCCCTCCCCCCCCTTACCGCCCAATACCGAAACGCCGAATAAGAAAACGCTCACCTGGTTGGTCCGACCTTCTGGGGTCCACGCTGTGAGAAGAAAACGCGACGTCAAAATCCTGGGGGGACCTGGCGGCGCCTCCGGCGCCGCCCATGGCGCGCTCCGTGCGCCATAGAGGGAGTTGCTGGTTATTCTCCATTTCATAAGGGAGAGGGGTTCTTGAGCTGTTTCACCATTTCGGGCCTCTCGGGGCCCTTCCTGGGCCCCCTGGGAGCGTCCGTAAAAAATAGCGCAGGATGAAAGCCCAGAGGTCCAGGCCTGTTTGCACCTCTGGACTCGCCTTCCTCGTGGCAATTGTGGAGGGATGGAGGGAATACATGTGCCGTGGGGGAGCAGAGGGAGTGAAGATGAAGGCAGGGAAGAGCTGGGATAACTTTTGAGGAGGACCAGATACAGAAGCAGACGGAAGGGAAAGAGGAGGAGGAGGAGGAGGAGGAGGAGGAGGAGGAGGAGGAGGGGTGTAATGAAGCACGGCAGAAGGAGGATGAAGAGGAGGAGGAGGAGGAGGAGGAGGCTCTGTCTGCCCCGCCCATCTTCGTCTGCGCTGCCCCCTGCCCCTCTCTACACTCAAGAAGCCCTTCCCCAGCGAAGAACTAAGCGTGTGGTTGGACCCTCCGGCCTGGGGGGTCCTTATCTGAGGAGGGCGGCGGTGATGTCCAGGGTCAAGCTGTAACTGGAGTTCTACTGGCTACCAGACCCTGGATTCCTCATCACATGGTCCCCGATCGAGTGCCGCTGGCCGCAGCTCACGCGGCCCCGCCTCGCAGAGTCCGACGCTCCCCAGCGGGCCGATGATTCCCGCAGGCCTGGCCGAGCGTGGCCGCGGTGGAGCGCCGCGCGCTCGGCCCCGGCCCCTGCGGCCAGCCCCGAGGGAGCCCTCCCTGGGAGAGGTCCGTGTCCGAGGCCTTCTCCCGTCGCCGCCTCCGCGGCCGCCCTCTCCTTCCTCCTCCCTCTCCTCCTCCTCCTCCTCCTCCTCCTCCTCCTCCTCGTCCTCTGAGGACGCTCCGCCTCCTCCTCCTCGTCCTCCTCCTCCTCCTCCTCCTCCCCTCCTCCTCCTCCTCCTCCTCCTCCTCCTCCTCCTCCTCCTCCCTCCTCCCCTCCTCCTCCTCCTCCTCCTCCTCCTCCTCCTCCTCCTCCTCCTCCTCCTCCTCCTAAGGCTTTTCTGTCTGCAGCGCGTGCGCGCCCCTCGCTTGGCGCGCACCGCCTGTTTTGGAGCGCGCCTGCGACCGCCAGGGCTGCGGACCCAACTGTGTTGTGATTGTGTCGAGGTCGATCTCAACATGGTGCGCTTTGTTTGTCGAATTCGGATTCGGCTTCGAATGCGCGCCAGCGTGTCTCACCAACCAGTACGTCGGTGCACTCTGCATGTGTACCACACGGGGGTGCCGCACAGTATGTGTCGTGCAGGTTATGTGGTACAAGCCACATGTGGCAACGTATGTCGTGCAGGCGATGCAGTGCAACACCTGTGGTGCAAGCTGGTGCAAACCAAGCGTGGTGCAAACCATGTGATGCAAACTATGTGTGGCACTAGCGGTGGTACAATCGGTGTGGTGCAATTTATGCGGTGTAATTAATTTCTGTTCGCAGTGAGTTGTCCACTCCACTGCTCGCGCAAACATACCACCCACCCACCCACCCGCAACTTAGTTTGCAAACCTCATGCGGCGGCGATTGCGATGAGTGCTTGGCGCTGGCTGGTGCATCTCTGCGGCCGCGCCAGCCCTCGCATGCGCTCGCGCAGCGGCCAGGTAGTTTGGCGCGACCGACGAGGCCGCGGTGGTGCTGACCTTTCGGCACATCCCAGCGGGCACTTGAGTACGAGTCGGCGGCTTGGGCGGGTACGTCGACAATTTTAGACACGATGATGGTGATGATAGTGGCGATGTTGGTGACGACAATTGTAAACACCATGATGATGATAGTGGTGATGACGGTGCCGATGCCGATCACGCCAACGACGATGACGGCGTCTTCGCGTCGGTGATGAAGGTTTTGTGCGGAATTCGGCATGCGCGCGCGGCAGACGCGCGAGAGTGGCTCGCATGGTGTTATTTGACGCGGATCGTGCCACCCCAGCACGCGCGCAAGGGCGTTCGAACGATTTCGACATGCGCGCGCGCGAAGCCCGCTTGGTAGCATTGTATGAACAGGTTGACACATTCATGGTTTCTGAAGAGTTCGCAAGAGCGCGCGCACGCTTTTGTTGAACATCCGTGTTGCGAAACCATGTGTTTTGGTATGTCTTTTGGACACTCGATTCTGGAATCCTTCCGATACCGAAGGTTTTTGAAGGATTTCGGCATGCGCGCGCGACGACGCGCGCGTGTGCACTTCGTCCCATGTTTTGCAAGGGGTTCTCGCGACGGCGCGCGCGCAAGGGCGTTCGAACGATTTCGGCACGCGCGCGCGAAGCCCGCTTGGTAGTATTTTTTGTTGTGGAAGTTTGAACAGTTATGGTTTTCTTGAATTCGCAAGAGCGCGCGCACGCTTTTGTTGAGCATCCGTGTTGCAAAACCATGTATTGTGGTATGTCTTTTGGACAGTCGTTTCTTTGACGAATTTTGGCATGCGCGCGCGAGGACGCGCGCGTGTGCACTTCGTTTGATTTGTTGCCAGGGGTTCTCGAAAACTTATGGTTTGTGATAAACGAGTGCGCGCGCGTAAAATTTGTTCCAGAGGATGGCGGGGGGGTCGATACCAGCCCCTCTGGGTTGGTGTAGATTCTTTTTTAGGATGGACGATAGGGCAAAACCATGTGCACATTGCAACACGAAAAGGTAATTCTTTAACCCCGGAAGGGGGGGGGGGTGGTAGAACCTATTTCTCTCTCTCAGACAGGAAAATGCACGTGGTGCGTGGTATATTTTGCAGACGGTCCGAGCGAACCACGCCGGGCAATCTGTTCGGTGCGATCTTTTTGGAGGAAGCTGTGTGATGCAAATTGTGCGATGCTATATTTCTGGGGCGCGGACCGCTCACAAGGAACCCACAGGCGGGCACCCGGGCGAAAACCTGAAACTGCCATCCAAGTGCTTACGAGATCAAGGAATGACCCCATACGCGCATTATTTGGCAGCGAATTAGCAGTTCTCTTGCAACAGAATACCACTTCGAGACGTGATTCGCCAACGGTGGACCCCGAACAGCGAGTCTGTGCTGAGTGGGTGTGAGCTATGTGCTGGAGGCAGTGTGATGTGAGTTGTGTGACAGCAGCACTGCAGTGCAACCTGTGCTGTGCAAGCTGTGTGGTGGCAGCAGCGTTGTGCCAGCTCTGCACTGCAAGCAGCGTGGGGCAATATATGTGGTTCCAGCGATGTGGAGTAAAAAAGTCTGCGGTGCGTCCTGTGTGGTGCAAAGGCGACGTGGTGCAAGATAATGTCCAGCCAGCGGAAGAAGCAACGGGCGGCCACGGGCGGCGGCTTTGGCGTGAGCCCCGAAGTGCCAGCCAGCACACCTGGGAGCCCACTAGTCGCCCCGCGGGCGACCCCAGGCGGCTGCCTCGGCGACAATCCCGAAGCCCACATGCCAGCGCACGGGGAGCCAACGGGGTGCCCACGGGCGACCCCGGGCGGCGGCCTTGGCAACAAGGGCCGAAGCCCATGCCAGCGCACGGGGAGCCGGCGGGGTACACACGGGCGACCAAGGGCGACCACAGGCGGCGGCCTCTGCGAAAAACCGGAAGCCCTGGGCAGGAATGGCTGGGCTTACCAGGGTTGGCAGGTCAGACTCGCAGGCGGCTTCTCGCCACCAGCCCCCGAGTTCCACCCAACAAGCTGGGCGTGTAGAAAAGAAGGGGAACTCGGGGCGATACCCCCGGGGGGATATTCGGACGCAGCCGTATTGAAGGACGGACGCACCCCATCGTATAGTTGGGTCCCACATGCTTCGTCCAGTCGGGAGTCTCACAATCACGAATTGGGGTCGTCATGCGCCCCGTTACAGACCGAGCCCCTACCTCAGATTGGGTTCCATTGGCGTGTTCCCCACGGTAGCTGCAGTCCGAACCGTGAGGCGTTTAAGAGCAGCTTTCTATGCCTCAGAACGCTCGTGACCATTCGCTGATGGAAGGGCAACTGTCAACCCAATTGCTGAGAGCCCCTCTGCGCTATCTGCGGGCACAGCCACCCCCTCGCGATGCGCAACCACCACTGCTCCCTGCCGTCGCGCATCCGCGCGAGCAAGCGAGCGGCAAGAGGGTGACAGAGGCCGGTGATGAGGTGGCCTCGACTTCGACCCGCTCGGAGGAGGGGAGGGGATGTGCCTCGAGCCCCGATCTGGGAGGGAAGGAGGGAGAGAGGGAGGGGGAGGACTTTCCCGACTTTCCCCGTGGACGACGTCCTAGGGAGGGAGGGGGAGGAGGGAGGGAGAGAGGGACGGGTGAGGACGGAACGCGGGGGAAAGGAGGAGGAGGAGGAGGAGGAGGAGGAGGAGGAGGAGGAGGAGGAGGAGGAGAAGAGGAGGAGGAGGAGGAGGAGGAGGAGGAGGAGGAGGAGGAGGAGGAGGAGGAGGAGGAGGAGGAGGGGGAGGAGGGGGAGGACGGGGAAGAAAAAACACAGGGGGAGGGGGTTGAGGAGGGCTGGAGCAGGGAGAAGGCGCTGGAGAGAAGCAGGGGGGGAGGGGTCGCCCGGGAGCCTGGTGCGCGGGCGGTCGCGGCGGCCCGTCACAGGCGAGCTCATGAGGGACGCGGCAGAGGCCACCGGCGCAGGAGGCCAGAAGATGGTCTCCGTGATCGGCCTCGGCGAGGAGGCCTGGCCCAGCAGCCTGCCTTCTTGAGTCAGGCGTCCTCCTCCTCCTCCTCCTCCTCCTCCTCCTCCAGCCCCTTTCTGTGTCGAGCCAAGAGTCAGTGGGCCCAGCGAGGGGGTCCCCGCTTCTGGCATCCCAGCACCACCTTCGCGAACGGCCCAGGTAGTTACATTTCATGCGCTGCAAGCTGTTTGGCTTCAGTGTCTGCAGCTTGATCCAGCCGCGGCGGCTGGAGGAGGTCGCCATGCTCGCGCGCGGCTTTTCGATTTACTTCCTCGTGGGCACACGCATGCATACAGTGCAGTCGGAGGCTGTGCGCAAGCAGGCGAAGATCGGTGGGCACGATTACTATCACTTTGGATATGGATGTGGACCTTTTACGAACGGTGCTGCTGGTGTGTCCATTGGCGTACGCAGGAGAGATCTCGGACTACGGGTGCATCGTGTACTCCCTGGACCTGCTTCAGCTCAGGGGCGTGCTGGACTAGTGAGAGTGGTCACGGGATCGCTCGACATATCGGCCATCGCCCTATATTTCCCGCCGCCGGGGCCCCGCTCAGGCACTGCCACATGGAGACGCACGGTTGACGTACTCCTCGAGTGGATCAACACCGTACTAGACAGCACGCCAGAGCGGTCCACCCCAGTGATTTTCACTGATCTGAACGACTCGTTCGCACAGGACGAGATGAACAGCCACTTCGTGTGCGTCGGGCCCTACGTGCAGTCGCGCATGGGCTACGGTGCCCGAGGATTTCGTGAAGTACTGCGCCGACATCACATGGCTTGCGCCACTACGTTTCACAAGATTGCGCCCACGTAAAATCGGGAAACGGGTTCGTCTTGGATCGATCACTACGCCCTGCCCGCTGGAGCCCTCCCGCGAGTTTCCAAGCTGCTTACGATGACGAAGGTGGCGAGGCAGCTCCAGCTCTTCCCGTCCAAGCGCGTGCTCCGCGACCATTCGCCAGTGCTACTGGAAGCCGACCTTGGAATCCCGTCTCTCCTCAACACTGCTGCTACGGCCTCGTGGAACTTCGGCGCGATCGAGACGACCTTGCAGACTCCTAGGCTTGGTGAGGGTTCTTGCTGGAGGCCAACTAGGCGTTGGCGAGGGCAGCCCCCTCGTATCTGGGATATTCCGATAACGACATGATTGGCGACGGATGCGCCACCCTAGTGAGTGCCCGGACCCCGATCGCCAAGAAACACTTCGGTCGTGCACGACGGGCCCCTGGGGAAGAGCTAGCACAACATCGGGTCCGTGTCCGACGGCTATTACGGGCGGAAGCTTTCCTGCGTGCACAAGGGCAGCCTTCGCAGCATCACGGCTTCCAGATCAGAGATTGCACCAATCGCATCCGCTGGGAGGTCAGACGGTGGACTCGGTCGCTCAGTAACACGTGGTTTGAGGGTGTGCATGAGGCGTGGCGCAGGTCAGCGTTCAGTTTTTTTCCAGACGGTTGGCTGGCACGTGACTAGGGCCGAAACGTCGCAGCTATTCGGCGGTGCGCAGGCACGTTGCATCGGCTGATGAACTCGCGTCGACGCTGGGCCTCCCAGGCTCGGAAGGCGGACTTCTCGCGGCCCCAGTCTCCGCTCAAGATTTATTTAGCACAGCGGGCCTCTTTGCCCCCTCGAGGGATGGGTGAGCGGGGCTCGGCGGGGGTGTTGGGATCTCGAGACCTTTGTAGTGCTACGTGGGTGCTCCGAAAGGCTTCGCGTCGGCTTTGTGTTCCTGCCTGGTCGCTCCCCGACGAAGCGTGGCTAATGCTTCTGAAGCAGAGATATTTTAGTAAGCCACGCCCGTCCCCTGCTGCGGTCGGAGGTGCACCTGGGCCCCCCGAGGTTGAGGCCATCAAATCGGGTTTGGCGGGTCTCGCCACGCGCTGACGGTCGCGGGTAGGTTTCCGACTTGCGCGGGCTTCTCGGTTGGCTAACAGACCCCCGAACCCGATGGCGGCACTCGGTTTCTGCGCGGCCTCTGCCCTTCCTGTCGCGCTGTCGCACGCGGGGTGCGCAAGTCTGTCTTTCGCGTTGCGCCTGCGGATTTCGACCGCGGATGCATCCCGCGCAGACGGGGAGAGAACGCCATCCTTGGGGTGCACGTGTTGTCGGAGCGTTTGCGCAGCGCGCGCGCGCGCGCGCGCGCGTGTGTGTGTGTGTGTGTGTGTGTGTGTGTGTGGGCGTGTGCGTGGCGCATCGCTGTGTTTGATGACATGAAGAATGCTTTTGGCTGTTGTGATCATGGGCGCGTGCATCGCGGACTGTCAGAGTACTTGCCAGCCGGGGGCGCAGCCCTGCTAGGCGACAGGCGCACCGCGCAACTGCTTCACCTTGACGGCGCGGATGGCCCCACCACCTTGCACCTCCAAAGCGGGGCGCTCACGGGGGGCCCCAGTGCGCCAGATGTGTTTCGCGCCGATTTTGCTCGCCCCCTCCAGCAGTGGCTCGGGGCCAGCCAGGGCCCCGCCCTCGTTGCCCAGTGCGCTGTGTTCTCGCGTGAGGTCTACGCGGGTTTGTTCAAATATGTAGATGACCTCGCCTATTTTTGTCGCTGCAGGAGGGGGCCCTCTCGGAGGCCGTCGCCGCAGCGCGCGAGGCCCAGGGCGAGCTGGGCGCAGGCTGTGGCGGAGTTCGGATGCAAACACAACGCGAAAAAACAAGTTTTGTTCCCGCGCCCCTGCGGCTACAAGGCCACTCGCCAGTTTTATGCGGCGGGAGTTGGCGGGGCCAGGGCGGCCCCTCGCGCGAGGTCCTCGGGCCCGCAGTTCCCCCCCCATCGGGCGCTTTTCCCCGCCGGCTAGCTCTGAGTAAGCAAGCGGCCAACAGGGGGTGGTTGTCTATTAGATATCTGTGGACCTCGGGGGCCCCTCAAAAGGTGAAGAGGCTAGTGTGAATATCTGTGGTGCAAGGTGCGCTATTGTCAGGACTTGCACCGTATCTCCTCGCGGCCTCCCAGGAGGCCCAGCTTGACCTCGCCTTTTTAGGCAAAATCAGATGCGTCGCTGCGGGGGCCATGTGTGACCGATCTGTGAATCATCCCGTGGCGATGGATTCTCGGGCTGTCTGGAAGTGGATGAATAGTGTGCCGTCGGGAGTCGAGTTGTTGATCCAACGCCTTCGACGGAATTAAACTATCGTTCGGTGGCCCGAAGAGCACTCCCAGGTCATCGCCCTCCTCTTCGGTCGGTTCGGCTTCGAGAGTGCCCCCGCCCTCGTGGATGGCCGCCTCGCCCTGCGCGCCGGCCCGTTCGCCGTTCGTTTCGTCACCGACGTTTGCCGGCTCGAGCTTCTCACTGATTATGAAGACTGGCGCTCCATTTGGGGCGAGGACATATGCGCGGTCTTTCATGGCGACTACATATCCCATCTTGTTTTGGGCTGCTGACGTATCTTCACTGCGCGAGATATGGCGGGGCGGTGAGACTGACCTGGGCGCCATCGACTCCGGGGGGTATCATCTCGGCAACTGTGCTTCCAACACCGAAGACTTTGTAGGTCCCTACGGCTTCGTCCACGCATGCAGGTGTACGACCGCTGATGGATATGACTGTGGTGCGAGATTTTACACATGCTGCCCTCATTGCGCACCAGACCTGCGCGCGGGGTGGAACTCATGGCGATTTCTCGTGCTATGCCCGTTGCGTTGTCACGGACCAGTGTCCAGCGTGCCGTGCCTCGTTCGGTGTCCAGAAGACTGCTACAGCTCACCTCTGCCGTGCCTTCTGCAAGGGAGTTTGCGACGCCCCCAGTGCCCATGCTATCCATCCTGTGGTCACCCCCGAGCTCGGGTGCTCTATTTGTCGCGCGTCATCGCATCCCGATTTGGCTCAGCTGCGAGACCGTATCTGTGAACGGCACCCCCCGTTTCTACCTGGGCGGGGAGGCAGCGATGGCGACGCCCGCGTGGCAACTGCCCAAGCGCGCACCAGGAGGCGTGGAGGCCGACGGCGCCCCGCGAGCGGCCAAGGCCAAGGGGTCCCCGCCCGCGAAGACAGCGGCCGCAGGGGCAGACGCCGCTTCCAGTCGAGGGGCCGCGTCGTCAGGAGGCGCAGCCGGCAGCGGCAGCGGGGGCCCCGACAGCAAGCAGCAGCGCAACAGGCATCTGGGCAAGGTCAAGGACATGGCTTCATCAAGAAGCAGGCCCAGTTCCTCGACGTGCTGATCAAGCAGACGCCGATGACCACGCAGATGGTTCGAGACCTGTGGGCCACGGGCGTGGACACCTCCTTCCCGGACGCAGACCTGCCCGAGATCGAGGCCGCGCAGGAAGCAGGGGCGACATATTCATCAGGAGTCCAAGCCCGCGGCATAGGCCGCCAGGGGCCATGGTGCCCTCGCAGTCCTTGACTATTGGGTCTGTTCGTGCCTCTTACGTCGGTGCGCGTGACCCTGGTGCCCAGTCTTCAGGCCCGTCGGGGCCCGCTGGGCCCCTTCTGAACATCGTGACCTTTCAAAGTCGCCCGACGGGTGCACTCTCCCGACTTCAACGCGCTTGTGTGTTTTATTTGAATTCCCACGAGTTTAACACGCCGCTTCCATATCATACTATGCCGCTTGCAGTCCACTCCGTTCGGCAGTGCACGGACAAGGAGAGATGCGGGCCCATAGTCGTGTTTTACTTCCTCCTCCTCCTCCTCCTCCTCCTTCTCCCTCTTCCCTCCTCCCTCCTCCCTCCTCTCTCCTCCCTCCTCCCTCCTCCTCCTCGTTGTCGTCCTCCTCCTCCTCCTTCTCTTCCTCCTCCTCCCTCCCTCCCCTCCCCTCCTCCCTCCTCTCTCCTCCTCCCTCCTCCTCCCTCCTCTCCTCCCCTCCTCCTCTCCTCTCCTCCTCCCTCCTCTCCTCCTCCCTCCTCCTCCTCCTCCTCCTCCTCCTCCTCCTCCTCTTCCTCCTCCTCCTCCTCCTCCTCCCTCCTCCCTCCTCCTCTTCCCTCCTCCTCCCTTCTCCTCCTCCTCCTCCTCCTCCTCCTCCCCCTCCTCCCTCCTCCCTCCTCCTCCTCCTCCTCCTTCCTCCTCCTCCTCCTCCTCCTCTTCTCCTCCTCCCCTCCCTCCTCCTCCTCCTCCTCCTCCCTCCTCCTCCTCCTCCTCCTCCTCCTCCTCCTCCTCCTCCTCCTCTCCTCCTCCTCCTCCCCCCTCCTCCTCCTCCTCCTCCTCCTCCTCCTCCTCCTCCTCCTCCTCCTCCTCCTCTCGGGTCGCCTACGGCCCTGGGTGGAACTGTGCACCCCGTTTAACCAGGCGATCGCAAGCATGGATCAGGGGGGCGTGGATTAGCGACGGGCCCCGTTTCCATGGGAAACCGCGGTTTTCCGCCGCCGAGCGAGGCGGCAACGGCCGCATTTGGGGGAGGGCACCTCCCCCGATCCAAGGATTTGGCGCACGCGCGCCAAATCCATGGATCCCTAATCCATGTTTGCGCGTCCCCGACCTCTTGAGGCGTTCCAGGGAGGGCCTCGTCTTCGAGGGTCGAAAGGGTTGCCATTTCTTCCGTGGTGGAAGGGAGGCGGAAGGTGGAGGAAGTAATACGAGGGCGCCTCCGCCAGCCCACGGTCGGCGAAAGCCGGCGAAAACAAAGCATGCACATCCAAGGGATGGCAGCATTGTGGGGTTCAGGGTTTCCGTAGCCCGTCTCTTGTCTGCCCAGGCCTCCAAGGCTTTTCAAAGACTAGGTGAGTAGTTTTTCTTGTTTTCGTTCATTGGGAACTGCTTCCGCGACCAGGGACAGAACAGACAACAGTGCGGGACTGAAGTGGCCGTAGGACGGGGCGACGTATAGGAGGACAATCAACTCATGTGGTGTCGTCGGATATCTGGGTACATGCCCATACTTCTGTGTGTCTTGCTTGCAATGGTCGGAGCGCGCGTCGGGCACGTGTCGGCTAGATCGGGGCGCGTCTTTTCCGCTTTGTATTATTTGTTGTTCGTGTTATTGTGTTGCTGCTTGCCTTCTCCTGAATTTGGTTGTTCGTTTTCGTCGTCGTCGTCGTCGGATGATTCATCTTACGCTTCTTCTGATGATGAGCACTATCCGTCTTTTTCTTCTGGGGTAGGGGGGGCAACAGGGCCTAGCCACGGAGGGCCCACGACGTCGTCCAGAGGGGGCCAGGGGAGGGAGGCCTGGGGGGGCCATTGTGCGGGCCCTGATGGGGACCAGAGGGGCCAGGGGAAGGTTTCTGTTGTCGATGCTCGTTTGGGTCTCCGCGGCTGTGCGACCATGGCTAGTCTGGCCCGAGCATGCAACTCTGTGGCTCGAGCTGGACTTTTCTTTCTCTGAGAGGGGGCTAAGGGGAAGGGGAGTGAGGGAGCGGAAACTCGTACAGGGTCCCAGCCCCGAGCCCAACCTCGCCGCCAGGTGTCGGGCAAGGCTGCGGCCCCTGCTCATCACGAACACAAGAGGCCCTACTGCTAATAACACAATGAAGACGTAGCCTAACTTAGGCCCCCCGTCCTTGCATCAGGAATGATTCATGTGGGTGGTTTGGTTTGATACATCTGCTGATAAGACACTCTATCCCTCATGTGTTGGGCCTTTTAACTCCAACTTGCTCCTGAAGGACCAAGGTTCCTTTTAATTGCGAATCACCTGCGGCGAACCCAGAGCAGCTCTTCACTCCTGCTCGCTGCTGCGGGGGGAGCGCGGGGGGCGAATGTGAATGTGTACCTGCCCATCTGCCCCTCCTTGACGTCGCGGCCGGCCTCGACTGAACTGGGCGGATCAAGTGTGTGTTGATGATCCGGCAAGAAGTTGGTGGACACGCGGGGTGGGAGACGCCTGGCTTTCCTCATACATCAAGGAAGCGCAAACATGGATTCAGACCCTTGGATTAGCGACGAGCCCCGTTTCCGCACAGAATCGGCGCGCTGCGTCGCCAAATCAGGCGGCACTGTCCTCACGTTTCGGGGGTCTCTTCCCCGACCCGTGGATCTGGCACCTACACGCCATATCCACATATCCGTAATCCATGTAAGCGCGCGCCCGAACGCAACCAGCGACTCGGCTCGCGCGAAGGAGGTCGAGGAGCTCTGCGAGGAGGCGCAGGCGGCCGAGGAGGGCGGCGTGTGCAGGATCGGGAACCGGTTATTCCCCTCCGGCTTTGTGCTCTCGGGCACGTCAGGCGGGCTGCCTGCACGTGACGGGGCCAGGAGGGGGCAGCAGGACGAAGACACCTCGAGATCATGGCGGTGCACTTTTTCATAACGGGCGTTTTCGCTAGGTTTCGGGCGCCAGGACCCTCACGGGTCGATCGGGCTGGAAAGACGCGGCAGAAAGATAGGGTATGGGGCTCTGGTCGTGCTGCTTCGCGATGTGGTATGTTGTTCGCGACGCCGGATCTCATAGCAGGTGCACGGGGACAGGGACAAGAAGTCCGCGAGGGTGTGCGCAGCAGCTGCCCCTCAGCTGGAGCCTGTGTGTCTCGCAGCAGGACGGGAGGCGGACGGAGAAGAGGTGGAGGAGGAAGCGGATCGGGTCGGACGAAGGTGGTGCTACGAAGGGCGCTGAACGCAGCCGGCTGCGGCCCCGCCGCCGGGCGCGTTGTTCGGTATGTTGGCGCCTCCGGCGTTGGTAAACGCTAGGGAAACCAGTGATTTGTGAACCTCCCTCCCCTTTACTTACTAGTTACTAGCCGCCATGTCGCCCGACCCGAGAGGAGGAAGAGAAGCGCGTGAGGGACGTGCACCAGACGGAGCTCAAACGTATACACTCCAGCCATGCCGCATTGAAAAGCAGTATCACAAAAGTCCAAGTTGGTATTCGATCATCCTTTCATTGCCGAGCGGTTGGATCAGCGCTACTTCCCCCAGGGGGAGGTAAACGAACAGGAGGAGAGGGGGGGCAAGTTTGCGAACGAAGAAGATGATAAATTTAGGACGACGTAGATCTCTGGGGCTGGAGTAAATGGAGCCCCCAGATCGCACAGCATCGTCGATGCGTTTGCGATGCATCGGTCAGGGGCAACGTCAGGGGATGCATCGACCCCCAATCGCCCATTGATCGCCGATAGAGACTTGATAGCCCACCCCGCCCAGGGCCGTGTACATTCGCCATCGGGGGTCTATCGATGAACTATCGGCGATGTGTCGCCGATTGAAGGTTGATGTCCCCCCCCAAGAGCCAGCCACCCCACCCCTTCATCGTTGACCCTCCATCGGTGATGCGCCGCGATTCAGGATCCTTGTCCGTACCAACTTATCCCAGGATGCATCGCCGCTGCATCAGCGATGCGGTGCGACCTTGACCCTTCGTGTGCTCCGATACAGACAGGCGGCCATGGGGCAGGCTCGAGGGGCCCAATACCCGCCCGTCTCGTGCGGTCGAACAGGATCGTGAGGATGAGTACTTCGCCAAGGACATCCTCCTCCAAGGCCGATGTTTGGCAACCACGCTGGCCACTCGATTCTGTGGCAGCCTCGCATTTTTGCTGATCGGCACACTTGGAGGTAAGCTCCAGGGCCCATGCGTGTTTCACGGAGTCTTGCGGTCGCAGGAGTCCCCGTTCCCCAACAAAAACTAGCCTGGCCAAGGACCCAACCGTGTGCAGTTGTGAGTACCGCGTTGTGGGTACCAGTCTCGGCGGAGCTCCCAGTGGGGCCACGATCCTCGTGACGGGAGTGCCGAGCTTGGTGCCGTGCCGCCGTGCGAACGCGGCCACCGAGGCCTTCGGTGGAGCTCCACACGGGGCCACGATCCTGGTGCCGGGTGTGGCGCAATAGGTGCGGTACCGCCGTGCGAACGCGGCCACTGGAGCCTTCGGTGGAGCTCCTTATGGGGTCACGATCTTCGTGAGGGGCGTGCCGGCATCGATGCGACACCGCTTGGGTCTTCAGTGGGGCTCCCCATAGGGCTTTTCTCCGGAATCACGTGGAACGGTTCTGGTGTGATTCCGACACCTTGGCATTCACCGTTTCCAGTCCCAGAAGCACTCTGGAGAAGAGGGTCCGGGGTGATTTTCCATGTGGGGTGACTTAGAGCGACCTGACAGAAGGCCTTATTGGGCTGCCTACGGAAGGCCTCCGTCGTGTTGTTTATATCAAGCCTTATGGTGTTCCTTACGGAAAGCCGTATTGGGCTGCTTGCAGAGGCCTTATGTGGCTGCGTGCAGAAGGTCTTACTCTGCTTCTGCTGCTTACAGAGAGCTTTAGTGGGCTGCTTACAGAGGGCCTTGCTTGCTCTGTTGCTTTCAGAAGGCCTTTTTGTGCTGCTTACAGAGGGCCTTATTGGGCTGCTGGCAGAAGGCCTTATTGGGCTGCTTGCAGAAGGCCGCGTTGTGCTGCACATCAAAGAAGGCTTTATTGAGCGGCTAACAGATGGCCTCATTGGGCTTTGCAGAAGGCCTTATTGGACTGCTTACGGAAGGCCAGATTGTGCTGCTCCCCGATGCTGCACACCCCCTTGCTCATCCCCGCGAGCGCATTCTGCAGGGGGGGGGCCCAGATGAGAAAACACCCTGGAACGGTTCCGCGCTAATTTTTTCATCTGGGCGCTCCCGCGATTCAGTTGGGGAGCCCAGCCGCGAGGAAAGGCTCCCCAAGAAGAGGTTCCATTTGAAGAATGACGACTTTGGGGGTTCGGGTACACTCCCTCCCCTCGCTTATCCCCGAGAGCGCCTTCTGCACTGGGGGGGGCCCAGATGGGAAATCACAGTGGAACGGTTCCAGGGTGATTTTCCATCTGGGCCTCCCTCAGTGCAGCAGGCGCTCTCGGGGATCAGTGTGGGTGGGGGGGCCGAGCCCCCAACGTCGTCATTTTGTGAATGGGGCGCTCCCGCGATTCAGCTGGGGAGCCCAGCTGCGAGAGAAGGCTCCCCAAGAAGAGATGACATTTGAAGGATGACGACTTTGGGGGCTCGGGTCCACCCCCCTTGCTTATCCCCGATAATGCCTTTTGCATTGGGGGTGGCCCAGATGGAACATCACCCTGGAACGGATCCGTTGGGAGCTTCCATCAGGTGTGCTTCCGAGATTCAGCTGGGGGGCCCAGCCGCGAGAAAAGGCTCCCGAATCAGAGATTTCATTTTGAACATGACGACTTTGGGGACTCGGGTGCATCCCCCTCGCTTTTCCCAGAGAGCGCTTTCTTGCGTTGGTAGTGGCCCAGATGGAAAATCAACCTGGAAAGGATCTGGGGTGATTTTCCATATGGGCGCTCCCGAGATTCAGCTGTGGGGCCCAGCCGGGAGAAAACAGACTCCGTTTGGAGAATGACAGTTTTGAGGGCTCGGGTAATTACACACCCCTGGCTTTTCCCCGAGACCGCCTTCTGCGCGGAGCGGGGGGGCAGATGGAAAATCACCCTGGAACAGTTCTGGGGTGGTTTTCAACCTTGGCGATCCCGAGATTCAGCTGGGTGGCTCAGCCGCGAGAAATAGCCCCCGAAGAAGAGATTCCATGTGGAAAATGACGTCTTTGGGGGCTCGGGTACACGCCACCTCGCTTATCCCCGAGGGTCGCAACCTTTGTCACACCGCAGGGCCGCCTATGCCAGAAGCCAGGGGTGGTCGCTATGTCCTTCCCAGCCGCGCCGCAGTTTCGGTTGCCACTCCTCGGAAGTGGAATCTGGCATCGGCCCCACCCTGAATGCTGCTGAGCCGAGCCTGGCCGAATCCGTACTGACCAGTCATATCCTGATTATTTTGGAGGTTCACCTGACAACCCGCTATGACAGCTTCTCCAGCTGGCCTAATATGTTCCAGACGTGCCCGCGAAGACCGCGCAGGAGCTGCTCGCGGAACAGGTCGTCGCGACGCCCCTGCCAGCTGCGCTTCCGTGGAGAAACTGGTCGTGCGCGCAGCTCGGCGCGCCTGCCAGAACGTGGTTGACTTCTACCGAATTCTGGATGCTGTCGTCGGCACTTTATGGGAGCGCTCCGATCTCCTCCTCCTCCCTCCTCCCTCCCTCCTCCCTCCCTCCCTCCCTCCTCCCTCCCTCCTCCCTCCTCCCTCCTCCCTCCTCGATCAGATGTGGGGCCCCAGAGGAGCCCAAACCCCGCGTCGATGCAGCAGTTGCAGCGCGCAGCCTTTTCGTGCCAGTCCCACTTCCTGGGTGGCACGCGCCAGCCATCCGAGGCAAACTTTCTGAGGAGCACTGTCAGCTGATGCGTGTGAAGTAATTAGCTCTTGGGCTCGCGCCTCCTCACCGCCCGTGTCCGAGGCGCAGCCACCGCCCTCGAGATTTTAGAATTTCCTTGACCCATTGATGTTCACGCTGTCTCTTCAGTCGCAGGCGGCGCAGCTTATGTTCTCATCAGCTCGTGTTTTTGTTAGTTTCGCAAGCCCCCTGCTGCGAGCGGGCCTCCTGGTAGCTAGAAAAAGTGTGGCGTCGGATAGATTGGCCGCCGCCCCTCGCATGTTCTCTTCCGGAGCCGTGCAGCGGGGGGTCGACGTGAATTTCTGCTGAGAAACGCGATTTGTCTGGGAACAAACAAACGTTCGAAAACGCAAGCCTGGTTTATTCAGTATTCGTATTTCGGGTACAGATAGCGGATGCATATTCGCTTTGATAAGGAATTCGTGATTGGTGGTTTTGAAATGAGAGCTGGTATGGCTTTTTCAGTAAGCAGTTTCCCTGCTCATGAGCAATCGTTTTTCGCGACAAGTTTGGCTTCAACCGCACGCCATTGCGGAGTCGGGGACATCGTCGCCACGGCAGGGCGCGCGGCGAGACGCAAGCTTCACGCGTGTGCGAAGGTGGCGCCATTGCAGGCGTGCCCCTCGCGAGGGTGCGGACCGAAGCGCAGCTTCCCAAACGAGCTCCGAATTGTTTTCAGGGTGGGCGGGCGGGTGGGGCGTATCCTGGATGTGTCTCGCATCTGCCCAGATCCAAGGTCGACCCGGGCCCGAGGTCGGACCCCTGTGCGCTGCGCCAGGCTGCGGGCGCAGGGCCGAAGAGGCCAACAGCGGTGATCTTAGAGACCTCCTGGAGCCTCTTTTGGGGACTCTTGGACCATCGGTTACCTCCTGGACGGGCAAAACGCGGTCTTTCGCGCAGCGGCGCGACGCGCGTCCTGGGAAGCCCCTGAAGCCTACCCCCTCCTCCTCCTCCTCCTCCTCCTCCTCCTCCTCCTCCTCCTCCCCCTCCTCCTCCCCCTCCTCCTCCTCCTCCTCCTCCTCCTCCTCCTCCTCCTCCTCGCAGAAGCGCTTCGGCTGTGCACGTCGCGGCGCGCAGCGCGGCGCCGCGCCTGGCGCGCCAGGCCACGCCCGCCTCCAGGCGGGGGTGCCCCCCCCCCGCCTGGAGATGGAGCCCACGCGGCGCCCCGAGTACAGTCGAAATGGGTACGCGTTGTTCATTGCTAACTCTTCGAGAGTTCTTTGGTTTTTGGGGGGCCACGCTCCTGTCGTCTCTGATTGTTCTGTCCTGGGCCTCTTCCTGGCCACCAGGGGGGCCAGGAAAAGAAGTAGAGACGAGCACGATCAGAAAAGAGCACGATTAGAAATGAAGGACGCGTACAGAGAGAGTGGGCACGAAAACCAGCTGCCAACTGCGGTTCCTGCCCATTTTCAGCAGGATTCGTTGTCGGTGCCGCCGCGGACGTTGTCCATTTGAGACACAGGGTCGCCTGCCCAACAGCGGCCGTTGTCGGTGTTGGGCAACGTTCGATGTCGGGCATCGTGCCCATTTTTGTCCGTGTGCATTTCGGGCGTCCAAATTGGAGGATGAAGATGCCAGATAGGGACGAGGGAAGGGGGGAGGAATGAGGAGTAGGAGGGACGAGGAGGAGGAGTAGGAGAAGGGTTGGGAAGTGGATCCGAGGATCAGTGTTTCTGGGCAGTCTTGGCCGGGTGGCATCTGGATGCCCTTTGGAGGCTTCTGGGGAGCTCCAGAGGAGAGGAGGTGGAGGTGAAGGCAGTGTTTCGTCGAATGCAACAGCGGTGCTTGGGTCACCCGAGAGGGCACGAAGATTACCGCGCTTCGCGCATCGCGGTTTGGTTTGGAGAATATTGGAGAGACATGCTTCTCCTGGCGGCGGCGCGAGGGCCCGAAGATCACTGGCCTCGCGGGACGCGATGCGCGAAGTTGAGCGACCTGGCAAAGCAAAGGACAGCGACGACGACGACGACGACGACGGCGACCAGGATGACCATGAGCAGAAACGGCGGGACCCCCTGGGAAGCGGAACCCCCGAGGCGCCGTGGACGCGGCGCGGGAGCTGGCCCGGAAGCGTGGCGCCCAGAAGGTCTCGGAGTTGCTGGGCTGCCGAGCAGGCGGGCCGCGGGGAAGTGTCGAGGGGTCTCGCGGCCGTGGGGGGGTGGGCGTCGGCGGAGAGGGAGGTCAACGCACCCTCGTGAGGCGTGATAAGGATCTCGCCCCTGTTGCCGCCGCAGCCGACCTCTGCTTCCCTGCAGCGTTGGCTGCAAGCCTTAGTGGATACTTACCACTTGATAGCCCGCGATGCGCGTCGATTACTAAGCGTCCAGTGGTATCGAGATTCCCGAGCGCCCAGGCCCAAGCCTAATCGCTTACTAATCGTGGCCACCGCTGGGTCCTTCTCAGCGATCTTTCGCCCACGGAGTCATAGAGGCGTCGGTAAAATCGGGGAGAGGTCGCGACGACGGAATCCTCGAGGCATACGGCCTCGTCCCTCCCGCCTCGCGTCCTCCTCCCGCTGCTCCTTCCTGCAGTCCGCCCTCTCCCACCCCAAACAAAGACAGACTCGCATCCGATGTAAGACCCCAAACGCCCGATCCAGGCTCGGAGGCCCCCCCGTCTTTGGGACCCTGAGGTCGACCTCGGAGACCCTTCCGAAGACCCCTCCCCCAACCCAAATACCCAAAGCGAAGACCTGAACCCGAAGCTCAAATCCAGCACGCCCAGAGATCCCATCGTGAATCCCCTCTGTCGCATTCTGCATCCCAGCCGCTTATTCCCCTTGCCTTTATCATCACATTTCCCTCATATGTTCTCTCGGTTCTTTTGTCTGTCTCTTTCGTTTCTTCATCCGGAAGAGGGGACATCGTACAGCACGTGCAGGCTGGAATCTGGGGAAGGCCCGAGGCGCCACAGTCGAAGAGCGCGACGCGCCAGCGTGCCAATCGTGCACACCAGACGGAGCATGCACGACCTGCGAAGGAGTTGAAGTCAATAAAGTGGTAGTTTTTTATGCATTGATTTGCCAATCGGCGCGGGCCTTCGCACCCCCCCTCCCCCCCCTATGGGGTAGATCTTGGCTGTTTCTGGCGCCTGTTTCGAGCAGGCAGAGTCCCTACCCCATAGGACGCACGGTTCCAAACAGTCGCACTGAGCAGATGTCTGGAGCCAGACCCCCCCCCCTTCCCCTCCCTTCCGCCCAATGTCGGAAGCCGGGCAAGGGCTGCTAAATCCGTTGCTGCTAAAGTCGACCTCCGGGAAGTTGTCTTCGTCCTTCCGGGAAGAAGCCCGTTGACTGTTCCGCGTGCCGCGCCTCAGTCCGGGAAGTTGTTTTTTCCTTCCGGGAGGGCCGTTTAGCAGCCACGGTTTTAGCAGCCCTCGCCCAGCTTCCGAGAATGTCGAGACGCCGAATCAAAACACGCTCCCACACGTCGGGCAGCCCCTCGCAGGGTACCACACGGAGCTCATGAGACCCGCGGAGGAGCCGCTCCGGAAGTTCCTGGTGGAGCTGCTGCGCACCGACCGCCTGCGGCCTCCGGAGATCACGGCCCCTCCGTTTGCCCGCGTCTGCAGCCTTCCGGGCGGCGCGCGCCAGGGGCGCACAAAGGGGGGGTGTGGGGGGGGCGGGGGGAAGGCTTCGTAGAAGCAGGGGTGCTTCTGAGAAGCTCTCCCCTCTCCACAGATGCACAATATGAGTACTCCTCTCCTCGCTCCCCTGACTCTGTCCGGAGAGTGTCCCGTCCTCTCCACGTATTGTTCCCTACCTAGGCTCTGCCTAGAAGGGTTCTTACTCGCTTGGCTTAAAGAGGCCGGGCAGTGCAAACCGCCCCGGGCGGTTCCCCCAGTCCCCTGGGAGCCAAGCAAAAGCAACAGCAAAGGTAAAGCAAACGCGCGGTTCCCCCAGTTGCGCTCCCTGGGTGCCAATCAAAAGCAAAAGCAAGGGCAAAAGTGAAGGCAAAAGCGAAGGCAAAGCAAACACATAGCATAGCATAGCATAGCATATCATATCATAGCATAGCATAGCATGACGCAGCATAGCATAGCGCAGCATAGCATAGGGCAGCATAGCATAGCGCAGCATAGCATAGCCTAGCCTAGCCTAGCCTAGCCTAGCCCAGCATAGCATTGCGCAGCATAGCACAGCACAGCATAGCACAGCATAGCAGAGCATAGCATAGCATAGCATAGCGCAGCACAGCATCCACTATTGCTGCTGCTGTATGTATATGCACTTATATATATATATATATATATATATGTGTATGCGCACGTATGTTCCATGCATGTTGTCCGTCTGTGGGCCATATTGAGCCCTTAGTGGGGCAGCTTGGGCCCTTAGGATTCACGAAGGTTTCGCACATAGCACCGGCCGGAAGACATGACACCCGACGTATTATCGCATGTGCAAGATGTCTTTCTATATATGCAAATATATGTGTATATATATATACAGAACACCCATGTGGAATGCTGCATGGGTGTGTGCGTGTGTGTGCATGTATTTGTTCAGCACCGCGTCGTAATGCCTTTCATCCTCGTTGCCGTTCAGCCTCAATTCCGTGACTCGCAGAGCCACGCAAGATCGTGCAGCAGGCTTCAACTCCTAGGTAGGGTCGCACTGGGATATTTTTTTGTACACGGGACTTCATTAGTTGGTTTTGTCTTGTGTGTTTGTTCAATCCGGTCGTTTGTGTTTCTTGCAGAACGGTGTTCCCGCTGCAGCGTCGCCTTCATTTCCGCGCTTCGGTCATTCAAAATCGTGTTCCCGCTTCGGCGCTGGCGTCGTTCCCGTGCCTCAGGACGGCACTTGGCATTCGAAAGCGCCCACATGGGGCCGGCACGATTGCGGGGGACATGGAGCCGGCATTCCAAGCAGGCCTTGCCCTTTCGTAGACGGGCCACTTACCCTCCAAGTCATTCGGTGCCATGCCACGGCATGCAATACGATGCTGTGTTGTGCACCGCTGTGCGATGCCATGATTTGCGTTGCTATGCTTTGTGATGCAATGTTTCATTACGCAATGTCACGCCATGCTATGACATGCTATGCTCTGCCGTGCTCTTCTACGCCATGCTGTTCCACCCATCGGGTACCCTTTTGGGATCATTGCCGTGCTCGACATCCGACTGTGCGAATAGATAGGAGATCTACGCCATGGTCAGGGATGGGAGAGAGGGGTAGGACGTCAGATGTGACTCTAGCGCACCTAGCTTGCCCTTCCCCCCTCCCCGTACCCCCCGGGGGCGCGGAAAACCCTTCAGAAGGCGCAGGGGATTCTGAGAAATTCACGCGCCTTCTCAGAAGTCGGGGGTGGACAGACCTCCTACCCTGACACGTCGATTAGTGAATTGGCCGTTTTCGGTTCGCGAGAGGGCGTCGCGGCCGTCATTTTTGCGGGTCCAGGTCCGTCGGTTTCGGTTTCAGGCCGTTTTCACTAGAGGGTGGTTTGCTAGAGGGAGGTTTGTCCACCGCCGAAGAAGGCCTTCTCCTTCTCACCCCCCCCCTCGCTCGCCGCCGACTCTCGCTCCCCGCTGCCGGCGCGGCGCGCGCCAGGGAGGGTGGCCGCGCGAGGGGCGGCCTCCCGAGAGGGCGCGGGGGGGGGGTGCTTTGAGAAGGCCCCGGGAGGCCCTCGGGCGGGTGGCAACGGGTCGGTTTGCTGGCCACGTCTTCCTTTCAGCTCGTCGGGGCTGAGCTCTGAGAGCTCCCCCATGCAGGGGCCAGCGCGGCCCGCTCCGGACCCCTGCGGTTTCCCATTCCGCTCGGGGCGGCGTTCGGCTCGCTTCGCGGTAAGTTCGTGCTCCTGCTGCTGTTCTGCTTGGGGGGGGACCTGAATGGGGGGTGGCGATCGTTCTCTTACTCATTGTGTTGTTGATCGGCGCGGGCTCTCGCACCCCCCTCCCCCCCCTCCCCCCTCCCAGGGAGCAGATCTTGGCGGCTGTTGGCGCCAGCTTCAAGCAGGTGGGGTCTCCCTCATAGGACTCCCTGTTGCAAACAGTCTGGCTAAGCAGAGGTCCAGAGCCAGACCCCTCCCTCCCCCCCTTACGCCCAATGTCGAAACGCCGGCCATCTGGAGGCCTCAGAAGTCCATCATAATCGAAAATGCGAGAAGGCAACATTCAAAGCTTTTCTGAAGGTTTTTCAGGATTTGAGCTCCTTGTCTGGGTCCTGAGGGGGCTCCAAGGGCACGTGCGGCAGTCTTTGGGTGGTGTGTGGGGGCCGAATGGAGCATGTTGGAAGTCATCTTTGAGACATTTTGGAAATCATCTTGGAGCATCGGAGGCCCTCTTGATGCCATCTTGAGCCAGCTTGGACGCTGTAACCTCTCGGGGCCATCTCACGAAGCCTCATGCAGGGGAGGGGGAGGGTACCCATCCCCGAAGGGAGGGGGGGCTTGGAAGAGAAAGAAAGAACTCGTTAGACCGCCCACGCCCACACGGCTGGTGGGATTAGAAGACGGAGCACCATTTGGAAGAACAGTCGTGGGCGGCCTCATACGCGTGAAGGTTAGCAGCCGCGCGCACAAGCTGAGCCAGCCACTGGCATTTGCAAGGGGGTAAGCGTCGCGATGAAAATTAGCACGCGCAGACATGGTGGACCATCGCAGCCCTTTCGGCTGACAGTCTCCGAGCGCTTCGGGCGCCCCAGTGCCCCAATGGTCCAGATGACAGACGGTTAACCTGAGACTCCGAAGAGCAGTCGTCACGACAAGTACACGCGGGTGCGAGCGTCCGTGTACATAGGCCGGGCAAGCCATCTGCGGTGGGGGTAAATGTCACGATGAAGAGCGGCATGGTCTGCCAGGATGAAGCATCGCAGATTTTTGGGTTGACTGTCTTCAACGGGCAAATCACGGGGAGAGGGATGGTGATGAAACCGCGAGACCTTATTTTTGATGCCAGTGACGAGCAGGCAGTGTGTCTTCGAAGTGAGAAACAGCCCAAGCATCTGCCCGCGCTTCTCCTTGTTTCATATGCCCGTGCACGGCTGTCGCCAGTCTTTCCCCCCTCTCGCAGCTGAAAATGGGACCCGAGCTCCAGCGATTGCACTCGCGCGTGGACTTGCCACAGTATTTGAAGTTTGGTCGCTCTCGGCACCAAGCGCGCGTAACGGCACACCGAAGTCTGGTGTTGTGTTCGCGGACGCACATGCAGCACACGATGTATTCGATGCGGTGTTTCCAGATTCAAGTAGCTGGGTGCCGCAAGATGAAGGATCCGTTCGAGTATTTCCGGAGACCTGCCCCACTGACCATCAAGCGCATCCTTCCCTCTGTTTCGCTTCCTCCTTCTCCTCAGCCGCCTCCTCATCTATCTCCTCCCTCTCCTCGCCATTCCGTGTCCAAGGTCTACTCTTCCAGCACGGGAGAGCGGTGGCTTCCTGGGGCGCCCGCGCACGCGATCTTGGAGGGCATCGTGGCCGGCCTTACAGCCCCAGGGCAGTGGGAGGACTGCGTCAGGAGGAGGAAACTGGAGGAGCGAACGTCCAGTGCTTCTAGTTTGCCATGGCCACACCTCCTTGTTCGCCTTCACTTCCAGCGGACAGGTGTAGCAGGCGATTTACATACACACATATATATATATGTATACACGGGTACACTTACACATGCACACATACATGTATACATATCTTCACAAACACATGTAAGCGTTTATGTTCATGTAGACATGCAAATGAGTACAATCATGATGTTAAGTCCATACGGGGTAAGTCCGTACGGAGTGTTTGGTCTCTGTTTGGGCTTCTTCTGTCTGTACTCAGCCTCTCCTGATACATACACGAAAATCACTCCGATGAAAATCCCGCAGGAGGATCTCTTCAATGTGTTTCAGATTCACCTTCACATACTATTAAAGATGGTGATGGTGCCAAGATGCGAGGATACCAGGATGCGCCGCATGGGACCTTTTGAAAGTGGGGCCCGTGGGAACTGTGCGACCTGTGCAGCTTGTTGGACCTGCGGGCCCCATAGGGAAGTGTTTCCCGCTCGAGACTTCTTCGCTATGCACTCTCATATGAGGCCCCCTGTGACACTGTGCGTGTGCATGACACGTCCGTGTGCGACTCGTTGCCGTTTGACCCTGAAGGGGTCTCTGTTGCCAAGGCACAGAAAAAACATCACACATCACACTGGCAGCAGAGCCTGCCACACGGTCTTCGGCGACCGCACCACTGCGCAGAACTTGTCTCTCCGGAGAGAGTTCTTCACGACCATCACATCGTCTTTCGTACTTGCTTGAGCAATGACCCTTGCAAGCGGACTGTAGACTGCCTTCCTATTTGCCTGCGCACTTGCCTGCACCATGGCACTGTCTCCTCTTCGTTATGGAACACATGCTAATTCATTGACCGGAGACGAAGAACGGCTCCATTAATGGGAATTCCGCAAATAGATGCGCATGAGTGCTGCCCTGGCCGCCGTTAATCCTGCAACGGGAGAGCCACGGCCGCACGCTGTCACAGCAGCCGTCAGTACGGTGATAGAGGTTTTCATATGTGATGCGTTCGATATCCACACGGATATTGGCAAACATGCGCTTCTGACTAAGACAGCATCGATCTGTTGATGCAGACGATCCGTACCTCGGTCTTTCCCATAGAACGACAGGAAACCAAGACCCTCTTCCAAGTGGAACAGAGACCCTACGGGCCAGTGCCCCGGCAGAGCGGTGAGTCGATGTTCTCGTGCATCTCATGCAGAAAGCGCTGGTGGAAACCCGTATCACAATTCAATCCGAACCTCATGGTTGCTGACGACATGCTTGGATCTCTTCTCTTGGACCAGGCATGACTTTCGCCTTCGGAGAACTTGATGGTAGTGACGTCAACGGGCAATGTGACCAATGCGAGAAGATCAAGGATGTCTTGATCCCCCAGTACGGTCATAACCACATCCGCCAAAGTGGCAAAGGAGACTCGGGCAAAGCTCCGCCTCCACTCGGTGGATGCCCTAGGGCAAGGGCAAGGCCAGGTACTCCAGGCCACCACAGGCTTACCACGCTGCTAACAACAGTTGGTACGAGCAGAAGGAGCACTGCCCCGATGAGTTGAATCCCTATGGTTGCTACGCGTCCGGCTTGACACATGAGTATGGCTGGGACGACGAATCTGGGTGGACAGGCACCTGGACAGATGACCAACCCTGGGGCGACGACGACCCTCGCATGCTTACTGGACATCTTCACTGTGCGGAGAAGAACTTGACGCCGATGCAATGGAGAAAATGGTCGATCACGGCTACACGGAAGAAGAAGTTTCTGAGATGGCGCAGCCACATGGAGACGACTTGGCAGCCAACCTTGGCGCAGCAGGTAGCGGCAAGCGTAGAGGCAAAGGAAAGAGCCACCGCTGGCAGCCCTCGTCGTCCAAGGGCGGCGGCAAAGGATCACCGACACTCGAAGAGCGCGAGGTTCGCCTCCAGGAAATCAAAAAACGATCCAGGTGCAAAACCTTTAATGAGATTGGCCACTCGTCTGGGGGCCCCAGGTGTAAGGGCGAACCCGAGACGGCCATGACAGCGCACGCCGGCGAGTGACCGCTCCCGTTGAGCGAGGACGGGGACGACGAACAGTTTGCGCCCGCGGGATCTGTCGCGGCATCATCTTCCACTCGTCATCATCATCACGGCACTAGTAACACACCACATGCCACGACCTCCTCTTGCTCTTCCTTCTCATCTCATGCCGCGCGTTGTCGCAGAGCATGCTTGAGTGAGGGAGAGAAGCACAGCATGCAGCGTTGTTTGATGAATGGGGCACGTGGAGGAGCACGTCTGCTGCTTCGGAACGCCCTGTCGCCCGAAGCCGCTTTGGCTCGCAGCCCCGGACGCGAGGGCGCGGCCGCGGCTCGGGGCGCCGCCCAGACCTCGTCGGAGGCTGGCGAGGCTGGCGCGACGCTTCACGCGCGCATGGCTCTCCACATCCGTGCCTCGAGGGCCGCCGCCCCGAGTGCCTCGACAGACGCTGCCGGGAACTATTCGATGAACAGTGTATCGGATGAGGATTTTGAGGCGACGCCCATTTGAGAGTTGGTTGCTGTTCCTGGTCAGTACACGACGTTTGGCACTGGTCAGCATCGAGGTCTTGCGCGTGGCAGGGTGCTCAGGGGTGCGCTTGATTGTTCTCCTGGGGTCGCGGTGTCAAGTAGCCGAATGATGAGGTGACATTTTTTAACGTGGTTTGATGAGCATGTCGTTCTGTTAGACAATGGCCGCATCACGCGTCGTTCTGCAGATGGCGCACACTTCCCAGTCAATGCTGGCGCTAACAGCACGACGCACAGGAAGAAGCCACCAGAGTCGCCGCTGCCTGATCCGCGCGCTCGCGGTTACACAAGGTTCTTTGGCGCTGGCTCGTCGGCTCGTTCCATCGCTCGTACTTCCAGAGACTGTGGGCACAAGACCGAGAGGGAGAGATGCGAGGCGCTGCACCAGCCAGGCGGTCGCCCTCATGATCTCGTTGACAACGAGGGCAGTGCCAAGGGCATCGCCCGCGCATTCCGCTGCGCATCGACGAACAGCCTCGCTCTCTCGCTCGAGAGAAAAACCAGAACGCAAGGAAGGTCGAGCGCGCCACCGACCTCCAGGCCGACACAATCGGGACAATTGTTGAGAGCGACCGCGAATCGGCGCAGAGGAGCTGAAGATTGCCATGAAGATGTTCACGAAGCGAGCTATGCCGATCTGTCAAGACACGGGCGACGCTGGCACTCGCGAGTTGACTGCGTTGCTCCGCGATTGCGTATCAGGGACAACCGAGAAGGTACTCATCGCGCCCGCGGCGCCGTCGTCTCCAGGATCGACCGACTCGTCGGCGATTTCCAAGCTCATAACTGTAGACGTCTTCAACGATGAAGGTGCACGGGCTGCCATGTTGCCGCGGCAAAGTTTGGACTGTCAACGTAGGAGATAAGTTTGAGAAGATCTGGTATCATCCTGAGGGGCCAACAGAACTCGCAGGGCTCACCCGGAATCGGTGGCCAGGCTGGTAGTTCCATGACCGGTAGGGAACGTTTCCCATGTCGCATCGTCGGCAGTCGTGGTGCAGTTGCATGTGCTCTCGAGTCTCATCAGTTGAAAGGCCAGGATCACGCGCCGCTCCTGCCGTCGGCGCCGGCGCAGGCGCCGCCAGGGGTCGTTAGGGGCCTCGCCACTGGCCGCGCCACTCTGGACCTGGAGGGCGAAGTGGGGATGCGTGGTTGCCATCGTTCTGGACTTCTTGTCGTTCGCCTCGATCAGTTCGATCCCTATCGTGGGCCCGATCTTGCGCGCCCTTCGCGCATCTCGCACGCAGCCGCGACGGCCCCCGCGGAGACAGAATCGGCGCGGCAGGCGAATCTTGATCAGAGCGACGGCGAGAGCGACAAGTTTCCAACGTTGGGCAAGCGCCGCGCAGATTCTCCCGTCGAGTCTCCATCGGCCAAATCATCGAGGAGCGAGGTTCCTCCGGTTGCGGCCGTCGCCATGGGATTGGGCAACTTCGAGAGCCACCCTGCCGGAACAGGCAGCAGGATGGCAAGATTATGCGTCGCCAGTCACTATCGCGGGAAGAGTTGCAAAAGAGCACGTCAGCAAAGGACGGAAAGGTGTTATTTGATGCTCTGGTTGCCTCCCGCCCGAAGCTCGGATAATTTGAGAGACTCATCTTCGTCGACGCTCGGAAGCTTGATGGTCCGCAGGGTACGCGCCGCATCGGACTTTATCCGAGGATCCTGAGAGCCTCTGCAGAGAATCGTGACGTTCCAGAAGTCCCGGACTATCTCGGTCGGTCCACGTCGCGCTGCTCCCAGGGCGAGCCAGCTGCGATTATCTTAATATGCCGTTCAGGCCGACGTCGTTCAGTTGCAGTCTCTCATGGATTGATGCGGCATCTGGCGGATCGTTGATCTGATCCAGGACCAGGAGAAAGCGTGACCAGTCGATCGACCCGCTGATTTGGGACCTCGATATATACAAGACTCTCCCTGGCTTAGAAAGCCCGTGAGCCGCGAGGCGAGAGCAGCGACCATATCGGGGCAGCGCGTGGTTCGGGCACGCCGCCGCCCCAGCCGGACCTCGCCGAGGGTCAGCCGCCTCCGCGGAGCAGATCAAGCCCAGGTCTGCGGGGAGACCATCCTAAAGTACCTTTTAGACAGGGTCCGAAACGAGCAGTCCGAGTTCTGCAACCGCTCCAGGGGGCGCTTCAGGAGGCTCGAGAACGCGGGCGAGGCGAGGCCATTGCCTGTGCCGTCGGCGAGCCCCAGCACCAGTTCAGAGCGCCCGCCGCCCAAGACCCCCGGCGCCGCGACTGGGGCGAGCAAGAACCTGCTTCTGACTCTGAAGGCAGAAGCGGCCAGGAAGTTCACGAACGCGGAGGTGGATCGGATCGCCCAGTTCGAGCGCGACAAGATCCGCCAAAGAGTGATTGAGCAGGTCATCGAGAGCGCGCTGACCAGGAATCACCAGGGGGAG